TGGAGGACCCTGAGGGCCCAAAGGGACATCTAGCCTACTTTGGGAATTACTGACAACAGCATAGGGGCACATGGCAGCCAGGGGTGGGCTTAGGGGGCGGGAGGGATGCTACAAAAAATGAAGCTGATGCCCATTGTAACCACTTGAATGCCCTCCGAGGGGTCTGGACTTGATCCTCTATGAAGCTGCAGTTGATGAGGCACTGGCGTGGCGTGGTTCTACATCAGAGGGTACCGCTGGAACGTGGCGGAGCCTTGAGTCGAGAAGTCGGTCTGGCACGGGGCAAACCATGCTCGTCTAGGGTAGGAGGGACTGCCATCCACAGCCTGCAGGGTGTGCGCTGCCCAGCGGCAGGGGGCACCCATCCCGGGATCCACAACACGAATGGTGCCTCCTGGAGCCGGGCAGTGCCCATCCGGAGCCCTGTCCCTGGCAGCGTGCCCGGGGAGGGGCGGCGCTCTCTCAGCGCCAGTGCATCCCTGCCACACGGCGCAGCGCCCGCCAGCGCTGGAGTGAGTCCCACGCGGGGCCACACAGGACTGACTTCTCAGCCCCCCAGGGGCGTGGACGGGCCGCATGACCCATTTCGGCCAACGGAAAGTGGGCAGAAGCCAGAGGCGTGATACGTGCGGATGAGCACCCGGTCCACGAGCTCTTCCATCTCTTTGCTCCTGGAAGCCCCCACGGACAAGGCCGCGGGTCTCCGATGCCCCCGCAAGATGGCAGCGGCTCCATCAGCCTGGCTCCCCGCGTGCCCGTGTGGAGCAGAGGCCCGCCCACAGGCACTGGATTCAAGGTGTGCGTGAGGAACCCACGTCTGTGTGGCTGGCCCCCGAGCCTCGCAGGTGCTTGTGACACAGCGAAGCCCAGCCTGGCGTGACCTACGCAGAGAGAGGGCATGACATGGAGCTGACTGCCAGGTCTGAAGAGAACCTTCTGGGGCCGGATGTCGGGCACCAGTTACGAATGCCAGGATGTGCAGAGCCGGCCGGGCGGAATCCGTCCACAGGCGCG